ATGTCGCTTCGATACAGACGGGAGAAGTGATTCCTATGGGCTATAGCAGCTGAGCAAGCAGCTGAGAATCAAGTAGATGAGCTCGATTTAACTTTATATTTTCTTGCGGTTGAGCATAGAATCGCAGTTGGAAAACGTTGTCCATTCATTTTTCCGTCAAACCATGAGTCACCCAAATGTCGTAGCGATTCAGATCTCCACATGTTTGCAAACTCCTGACAATGATCATATTATGGGAAATGTCGAATATTTCTGCTACGTCTCACGTTGTGTGATCAAGATTAATTTTTTGGCATTTGATTTTCACCTTCATCGATGACTGCAGTCCTTCCAGAAAGTACTCCGCCATCCAAATCAAATTTTCCACCTCTGAACCACTTACGAATAATACTCTCAGCTACGACACCATCGCCATAAACGGCACATATAGGTTTTGCTGTTTGTTCAGACGCTTATTTTTATTTCCAAAAATCAAAGCGAAACAAATGTCGAAAATGCATCTTATTTTCCTACATTTTTATTTTTTAACTCAAATCCAGTTAAAATTCACTATATTGTAGTTTAATGGATTGTTATGGGGTCCTCCCCTTTTTCATATAAGTGGACTCGACCAGAGTGTTACTTGGACTGCTGCCGTTAAATACCCAGAGTCAGTCAGAATATAAGAGAGAAGATTGAGATAGTGATGTAGTTTGAGGTAGAGTATTAGTGTGAGGTAACCACTTGTAGAAGTCACAGTTACAAGTACGTAGACACTAAGGAAGTCCTACTTCGAGACTGTATATATATATATATATATATTGCTACTAAGCGCGTTCCTGGATTTACTAACAGTATTACTCATTGTATTATTGTGTAAATACATTTATTTATCTTTAATTCCTGCGTTTGTCATTCATTGGAGACTGAATTTCATCTCAGAATCCACAACATGGATACTGGCACAAAATAAGAAATCGGAGAGCCGAGTTCGAATTCCAGTGAAATCGTTGCATGCATTTATGCACAAATACTTCTGGGAAAGTTCTGAATCCATCTCTTCTCCCCCAAGCTATAGGTTGATTAGCAGGACAGGCTGGATCCTATATCCTTGGATGGCAACAAGTCCCTCGCAGAAGAAATGGCAAATTACTGAGGGAATTTTTCTGTCTAGTCATTCATGGATCGAAAAAAATATGATAGCCCAAGCGTTTATCCTGTACGGCACTTTACTGACTGACTTTTTTATTCACGAATTCTACAGAAAGACAACTTGAGAAGTAACCTCCCAGGTATGCACATTGTATTTCAGTCAAGTGACCAAAACTATTGAAAAACGGTACGAGTCGGAGGCACGGATAACGGCTCGGATTGAGGAATCGTAGAGCCGAGTTTTAATTCCACTCGGATGCATTACATTGACTTACGTGCAGATACCCTTGGGAAATGCATAGATCCTCTTCTTTTCCCTCCAGATATGGGTAAATTGCAGGACAGACTGGGTTCTATGGTCACCCAAGGCCAAAGAACCCAATCTGTCCTGCTAAACTGGGTTCTATGGCCTTGACTGACTGGGTTCTATGGCCTGGGGTGACCATAGAATCCAGTCCTTGGAGAAGGAAACTGAATTGAAAAAAACGGCCTGGAGTGATTTGGTCTATCTTGCCCAAGAAACACCACTTCTACTGCGGCGACAGTCCACATGTTACGGGTCATGGGATAAAATAATATATTATTACTTTATTAGCCGACAAGGACAGAGTGACCAGAATGAAGACCTAAACTGAACTCATTAAAAAGACCAACACGCAAAGCAATAACGATTTATTGCTTTTTCCGCCAAATCATCATCAGACATGAACGACATGGTATAACATGACAGAAGAGAGAATGTTAGAAAATACAGCTGTCAAGAAAAACAGAAAACGGGAAAGAAAGACACAGGTACTCACTGGCAACCTGATAAGTTAAAAAATGAATTGGTTCTAACTATACAATGAAAAATAAAGGTAAATAAATAAAAAATTAAAATAAATATATGAACATTTAAAAAAATGAATACATATACAAATTTCTATATATATAAAAAAGAGGATGTCTGTCTTTGTGATATCTTTTCACTGGAGATCCATCCAACTGATTTTGACTAAACTTGGCATATACATTGTACACTGTAAGAGAAAAGCTCTTAGCGTAAGAAATCAATAATTTAAAAAAAAAAATCAATAAAGTCGATCAAAAATCGATAAATTCAACTTTTTCCCTCGGATTTCGTTCAAACTCAATACGTAGGTTACTTACATCATGACGAGCTCAACGATGCCTAATTTTTATTTCTACTCCGTTTTGCAAAAATCGAAAAATCAATTTCAACACAAATCGATTTTAACACGAATTTTAAACTAAAAACTCCCCCAATTTTCAAGCAATCTATTACAAATTTCACTCAATTTTAGCCAACAATAAGTTGTTTAACAATCATTTAACTTGATAATTGGGTCCTCCCAGATAGTGAAAACTCGCGTAAATAGCGAAAAATGGCGATTTTTACTGGTTTCTTTCTTATTTTTCGTTGATCTTTCAACCAATTTTCATAAAACTTAACAATTGCTTTATAAATGTATTTTCGTTTACATCCCTGATAGCACATTGATAAATTGAATTTCAAAAACGCCAAAAATAATTGTGGTCTAAAGTGGGTCTTCATGTTGCCTGTTTTACCCTTTCATGTCCTCGGCTAACTTCGATTGAATAAATATAGACTACTTCGGTTCTATCAATAACTGCATTAGTAAAAATGTGTTTTTTTTGTTTTTCTTTTAATGAAAGTACGTTAAATTAATTGGAGAAGATAGACATCTAAACATGATGCTGTCTTTGTTCCATTCTAACTGAACATTTTTTCTGATCGACCAGCTGGGTATGGCTGCTAGTAAATAAAAAAAAAATTAAAATCAGAAAAAGTATAATGTCTGCAACGATTAGGCAGGTAATGTGAATCAGATTTAGTTATATAATAATGTAGATTTAGTTCTTTCGAATTACTTTACTGATGACGGCGAAATCCTTGAAACGTATCAAAATCATAAAATGTACAATAAGATATAATATTTATTATTTTAAACGTTATTTTTCGCGGAGACCCGTGTTTGATTAGACATCCCTTTTTTTAAAAATCATTCAGTCCAAGCAAGGTGATAATGTCACTAAGACGCAAGGTGATAATGTCACTAAAACGTGAAATGAAAGGAGAAGTCTTTAATGAAGGGAAAGGACAATAAAAAAACGGAATTCATGCGGACAGAATGTGGCGATTGGCGTTGCAATTAAATTTCTTTAAGATTGTAAATATCAGGAGAAAAAAAAACTGGAAGAGAGATGAGAAGTTCTACAAAGTAAAATATTAAAATAAAACATGCAGTTGAATTTACCTAGTGCAACAGTAAAATGTAGTAACAAGCGTGCAAACACCAAGGGAGGTAACTAAGTTATTGAAATGTCTAAATATTTCTTAAAGAAAAAATATTTATAGCTATTAGTTAAAACCTAGATATTTTAAACTATTTGTTTTAGTTTGCACGTGTATATACATGATTAAATTTAAAAAATGTACAGAACATAGGCTTATCGTTTTTACTTCACACGTAAAAAATTAATTTTCAGATGAACGCATCAATTTTTGTCTTAGAAAAAACAAGACCCTGAGGACGTCAGTCGAAAGTACTCGAAATAAAGTGAATATGCATCAATATGGTAGTTTTCTTTCTTCCTTTAGTAACGATCCTATTAAAAATAAATACAAAAAACTTGTCTAAATTATTTAATGAGAGATATATATATATATATATATATATATATATATATATATATATATATATATGTGTGTGTGTGTGTGTGTGTGTGTGTGTGTGTAAGAGAAAAAATATCCAAATCATGTAACAGCATGGGATAATTGTCCATCCCACAAAATGCATATCTTAAATACCAGTAAACTAACTGAGTTTCATTTTTCCCGTTTTTCAGATAAGATATTTAGCCATCTTGACACCATTTGTCGTAATTTGTCACTGAAAACTCCTTTGAGTTATTTTTCTAGAAATAGAACAGTTTAAAATCATTTTGTGGCAGCCCCACTATATCTTCCCACCTGAGCAATGGTGAGAGGAAAGTCATCATTCAGGCCTTCAGTAATTGTTTCAACATTCATACTCTGGCGTCCATCTTCAAAGCCCATTCAAGAACCATCAAGAGAACGATTTAAAAAAGAGGGAACAGCAGAGAGGAAAACTGTATCACGAGTCCTATACGCAAGCCGCTAGCGTCCCGCTGGTTGGCCGCCGATGGCAACGCCTTCGGTCATCTGGTGACAGCCACAGATGGTGAGCCTCTAGCGGTCCGCCAGTGGTAATATTGCCGAGAGGAACACAAAGGAGGTCCGTAGCGGGTCACCAGCGATAAAAGCTTTAGCATGCCACCCAGTGGCAGATTGGTGGCTTGCGTGTAGGGAGGTCCCAACAGCAAGTGGGGTCATCATTTCAGCTTAGAGCTGAATACATACTTATTGTTCAAAGTAGATTCCAATAGTTTTATAAAAAACCTCGGAGAATTCCAGTAAGATATCTTTAATCATTTCTGAGATACAATGGTTAAAAGCTTAATATAACAATTGAACAATTTTTCTGTTACACCCTGTTACCTATATATATATATATATATATATATATATATATATATATATATATATATATATATATATATGTTTGTGTGGGGGTATGCGCGCGTTGGTGTTTAATGACATGTCACATCAACAGCTCCAAATCCAAAGATTCTCGCCGTTAGAAGTCTAACAAAGTAAAAACTAATAAAGTTCTTAAGATAGAAAATCATATTTTGGTTGAAATTGTTGAGCGTAAACTGCGAAATCAGCATCAAGCGAAATGAATTCCTTTCTCGCTGTATACTTATATTGCCCTGCGGACTTTGCTGAGAGTTTTCTTGCTTCGTGTTCAGTTAAGTGACAA